ATTATTTTTTTTTTTTTATTTATTTTTTTGGTACTGGGGATCAAACTCAGGTCCTTGCGCTTGTGCAGCAGGCGGTGAAACCAATGTACATTAATTTTTAATTCTCAATTTAAGGTAACTATAGCTAGTAGTAAACTGAATAAAATGAATTGGCATTTCACTTTTTCTAAATAATGTTAACATCTCAATATGTCTGAGAGGCTTTCATTTTTAAAACACCTGATGAAACCCTTGATGTGTGATAGACAGGGTAGGTATACTCGCTCTTTACATATTTCTAGAAGAATGCGTGAAAAAAACCTATTTAAATGTTGGGTCAAATTGTGAAAGTTCATTTCAGGAATTCATACTATGATCAATCTTTAGAACAGAAACTTCTTGTCAAGCAAATAATTCTATTTAAAAAAATTTTTATTAGTACTTATTTACAGTACTTAATGATTACATTCATCTTGGGGAGTTGGTACATGTACATAGCACATTTTAATATCCACCACCCCCACTTCCAACAAAAACTACTCTGTAATGTATCCACTTGGCAAGTTCAGATTAGGTCTAGTGTTTGTCATACTGGATTGATGATTATGTGCCAGAGTCATAGTAATGGCCTGCATGGTAATGAGAGTAGTGCAAGCAGGGGAGAAATTAGAATGAAACATTTATCTTTCCTTTTCTAGTCAATATCAGCACAGGATGAAAACCTCTCAAAAACAATGTTTCTGCCTCTTGCTGAGAGAATGGTCGAAAAAATGGTGAAAGAGGACAAGATAGAAGCTGAGGCCGAAGTGAGTAATTTAAGCCCTACTTTTATATTTTCATGATTTTGATAGTGCCATTATATATTATGTTACACTTTACTATTATGATTTGTTACTTTATTCCAGTTCAATAGCTGGGTCCCCAGTCTTGGCCTTTGTTTAAATGTAAAGCTTTGGAAGCCCTCTGCTTAGGGATAATGAACACTGAGCTGTCTCAAGCATGTACTCTAGCTGAGATGTGTGTGAATGGGGAAGACATTGTCTCATTCTTACTATCAGTTTTATCTCATTTGAGAACAGTGTTCTTTTCTATGAAATATTTTTTAAAAATATACAAATTATTGTCTTCTGATTATTGAAAAGTTTCAATGGTTGCGCTTACTTGTTTCTTCTGTAAGGTTGAACTTTATTATATGATCCTGGAACGATTGGGAAAGTACCAGGAGGCCTTGGATGTCATTAGAGGGAAATTAGGAGGTAATTTTTAAAGTTTTCTTGAAGTTTTATTTTCTTTCCTAATAAAACATGAAAATTGTTTATTGTGGAAAAAGTTCTTCCTCACACAGAAACACAAAGATATGAAGACATTTAAAAAATATCACTTGTGGCCAGGTGCAGTGATGTCTACCTGTAATTCCAGCTACTTAGGAGGCTGGAGCAGGAGGATCATAACTTTGAGGCCAACCTGGGCAACATAGTAAAAGGAAAAAGGAAAAATAATTGCTTGTTCCTGATCTCTTTTTATATTCTTCCAGACTTTTCTGCATGTTGTAAATTTATTTTTTTATTTTTATTTTTTTTTAATTTTTTTTTTTTTTTGTTACCAGGGATTGAACTTGGATCCTTGCGCCTGCACAGCAGGTGGCGAAACCACTGAGCTAAATCCCTGGCCCTGTAAATTTATTTTTAAAACTATTTTTCAGCTGAGAATAATTCATGGCTAATTTAAGCAGTGTGAAAGACAGTGTTCCAGATCTCTGGGCCCCTACTCTTTGGTTCTCCTCTAGTTACTTGTTATTAATATCTTTATAAAGATGTATTTTCCTCTCTCCTTTTTTTAAAAAATTTTAAAACTACAAGTGGAAACCTCACTCATAAATAATTTTATTTGATGCCAGGTGTGATGATACACACCTGTAATCCCAATACTTGGGAGGCTGAGGCAGGAGAATTGCTATGATCTTGGGCTACATAGTGAGTTCAAGGTCAGCCTGAACTATATAGCAAAACCCTGTCTCAAAAAAAATTAATTAGCACAGTATTTTTACTTAAAATTTTTTCTTTAGTTTTTAAAAAAATTTGTGTTGGTGAATTGAACCCAAGACTGCGTGTGCATGCTAGGCAAGCACTGAACCACTGAGTATACACCCAGGAGTTTTTATGTTTTTCAGTCCATCAGGTAAAACGTGTCTTACAGTTTTTAACTTCCGTAGTTATGATGTAGGATGATCATTTTTTTGTTTGTGTAAAAGCCATTACTATTTTCTGAGCTGCCTTCTTATTTCTAAGATACTTGGTTAATTGTTTTATTGATTTTCAAGACCACTTTATTTAATTAAATTTTGTGTGTGTGTGGTTTTTTTTTTGTTTTTGTTTTTTTTGGTACTGGGGATCGAACTTGGGACCTTGTACTTGCGAGGCAGGCAGCAGAACCACTGAGCTAAATGTCCGGCCCTTGTGTGTGTTTTTGAGACGGAGTCTTGCTATGTACTTCAGGTTGGCTTTGAACTCAAGGTGTAGCCTCAAACTCACCATGATTCTCCTGCCTCACCCTCCTAAGTATTGGGATTACAGGCCTGCACCATCATACTCAGCTTTAAGAGTACTTTGTGGGCCGGGGATTTAGCTCAGTGGTTTCGCCACCTGCTGTGCAAGCGCAAGGACCCGAGTTCGATCCCCAGTACCAAAAACAAAAACAAAAAAAACCAAAAAAAAAAAAAAGAGTACTTTGTGTGTCCAAAGAAATGAACTCTTTTCCATTATTGTGAAAATACTTCCCTTTTTGTTGGAAAATTATTTGTATGAACTTCATAGTTTGATTTAATTCCACTATTTCTGTACATTTATGACAAAGGTTCTGGTTCTTAAATATTTATACATCTTTGATTTTCTTAGGAGAAATGCAGTTACTTTTTAATAAATTTATTTTTTTATTTGTTTCCTTACAATCTGGGAGTAACTTAACTGTAGGAGTAGCCACAGATCTTTCATTAGCTTCAGTCATAAACTGACTTTGTTTCATACAAGTGTGTGTGGTTTCTATTGGATTATGTATAGTCATAAAACTGTAGTGCTATTCTTGGCAGTGTTGGTGATCTACCCCAGATCCTCCAGCATGGTAGGCAAACACTATGACTGAGGTACATCCCCAGCCCCTGCTTTTTAAATATAATTTACTGCCTAACCTTAGCCTTCTTACAGATGGGTATAATTCTGCCATTCTCTTTTTTATTCAGCTAGATTGTAATTCCATAGATAGCTATAATTTAGATTCTCTATAGTACAGATATTATTGAGGTTTTATAAATGTATCCTACATACTCATTCCCCTTCTTAATTAGATTGTGGGTGGTTGTATTGTACTTAGGAAATGATTATAAAGTTTAGTATCACAAATGTATTTTTTTTCTCTTTAACAAAATAATCTTTCTTTCTTTTCTCGCCTTCACCTTTTTCTTCTCTTTTCTGGGATTAAACCCACAGCGTTTGTACTAATCTATATCCTCAGCACTTTTTAAAATTTGAGACAGGGTCTTGCTAAGTTGCCCATGTTGGGCTTGAACTTGTAATCCTCCTGCCTCAGGCTCCCAGAGTACCCTCATCATGGGCCTGAGCCACTGTGCCTGGCTGCAACATAATCTTTATAAAAATAGTAACTTGTGGGCCGGGGATTTAGCTCAGTGGTGCCGCCTGCCTCAAAAGCCAAAGGTCCCGAGGGCCAGGGATTTAGCTCAGTGGTTCCAGCGCCTGCCTCACAAGCGAAAGGTCCTGAGTTCGATCCCCAGCACCAAAAAAAAAAAAAATAGTAACTGGTATCTAATAATGTTCCCATTTTCTAAGAGAGTGAATAAGAAAATACAACATTTTCCTTCTTATGTTTGGACCTTAATTTTGCTAGAAATGAAACCAGCTTACCAACTTTTATAACTTAATTGTAGAAAAGCTGACAAGTGAGATTCAGAGTCGGGAAAATAAATGCATGGCTATGTACAAGAAGCTAAGCAGGTGGCCGGAATGCAATGCCCTTTCTCGGCGCCTCTTACTGAAAAAGTGAGTAGATGCTGCTTTTGGGCTGTGAGATTGTAATGAGGCTTTAGGGCTCACTATTGGCATTGTTTGTATATTTTTAAATTTCTAGGGATAGAATATTCTTTTTATTAGTTGTGTCCTAATGTTTTTTAGAAGTTTTCTGTAAGCCTTCATCTTTCAGCAGAGGAATAATGGTACCACCATGGTGCTAATATTAGTTCTTTAGAATGATTAGTTTTTCAAATTCAATATTGGTCTAAATGAAATAGGCTTCCTTCCTGCTTGTATCATCTCCTGTTTAGGAAGCGTTTATTTGGGGAGTTTTCATTTAAGAATATTAGTTTTCTAGACCTGGTCATTTTATTGAGGGAAAGAGGTAATTTATATGTCTCACTGCCATGTGGTTCCAGTTTGAATTTGATTATTCTGCTGGCTTGAACCACTGTTGGTACATGTGTAACTGTCTTTCATTACAGTAATGTAAAGAAAAGTGTTGACTTAGCAGACCAGATGTCATCATATTAAAGTTTCTTAAGGAAAACATTAGAATGGTATAAAAATTGTAATATAGCTAATTTGTGGTATAACAGGTGTAAATACATATTATATATACCAGCAAAGGGGTACTTGTAAGATTTCCATGTTAAAATTTAGATAATTATTTATAAACTATT